TGCAGAAACAAGCGTCAGTGGGGCAGCCTAGTTTTTCTTATTTATTGCTCCTTTGAAGAGAGCAAGAACACCCCGAAGAACAAAATCTCCACATCAGAACCTTCCATGGAAAGATAAGACTACCCAAAACCTGTTTGCACAGACTCAAACTTGCTTCCAAGCAGCCTCCCACCCTCGTACGGACAGTTTTCCCACTGTGCATACGGAGCTGTTTAGGAGCGTGGAGGATGCTCCAGGAAGCGGATAATAGTGTAGAGAGGAGGCAAATCATCCTCAGCTGCAGCCAACCCCTCCCGAGCATCAGTACACAGCAGCCCTGTCTGCCACCCCCATGTGCCACCGCAGCAGCCGAGGCTTGTGGGGCTGCGGGTTGCCATCACCCCTCAAAACTTCCCCCACCCAGAGGCCCACCACACACCCTCACCCTCCGTCTAAGGCAGGCAGGCACCCAGTGCACCGCGGTCTTCCTGCTATCCAACACTCAACCATCCACCGGGTTCCCAAGCTGTTCAACCACGGGGAGTTTAGGTGTGTTCCAGACGTCTCTTTCCTCCGAGATCCATCCCACACAGGTCCGAACAAAGCCACGCTTTTCCTTGCGTGTGGCAAAGCTCATCTGTCCAGCCCGACCTGCCAAGGGCAACGCACCAAGCTCCCCCCAGGAGCTTCCTCTTGACGGAACAGCCTGACTATGGCCACTGGAAGCGCAGGAACCTGGATCCCTTCACAGAATCTCCCTGGCAACATAACAGATGCTTTCCCATCAGCACAGCACATTGATTTCCTGACAGATGAAGGGAGAAGCTGCTTCATACTTCACCTCAGTCCTGAAAAAAATAAAAAGCTAAAAGAATGAAAAGCTAAAAAAATACTATCCTGGCTAAACCCAGGAATTTTAAGAGCATAAAAGCTTCTGAGTCAGACCATAAATCCAGCTTGTTTCATACTCTAACTGACAGTGGTCAACAGCAATTGCTTAAGAAGAAAGCTTACCTGCACGGAGTGATTCTTACCATGCTTCTTCCAGCTTCAGGCAGGGAGTGCTTTGGAGATCTCCTCGGCCCAGTGTGCATGAAGCACAGACAGACCAATTCTCCATGATTTGACTTGACCTCCCCCTCCTTCCCACAAACCCCTTCCCAGCCTTCTCACCACCCTTATGGTCTCCCCCAGTAACTACGCACTGTGACACCCCCTCTAGCACTGTTCTCAGCTCAGCTGTGCTGTTACAGACACCAAGACACAGAACCGAGGTCGAAGCAAACAGACACGAGAATGGACCCAGGTCTCCTGACCCTCGGTGCAGTCTCTCGGCACCGTCTCTGCTGCGTTAGGAAAGGGAAGCCAAGCCCACCGCTCAAAAGAAGGAAGAAAAGATCCCTAAAGATGTAACAAATCCAATACAGTTTAAAACAAAACATCCTAAAACTATGACACTTTGTCACCCTAAGAGGTGGGGCTGGGCTTGGGTGATGGACAAGGAGGGGAAAAGATATTTGTCAACTAAATATAGGAAACCGAGCACCTGAAAAGAGGGAGCAAAAGGAGCCGGAGCCTGAAGAACTCCTGGCAAACCATGGCAAGGGTTTAGGCCATTTAAAACCGGGTTGTTCCGCTAAGGCTGATGCTCAGGGACCGCTCGCTGCCTGCACAAAGCGGTGGGAATGAGTGATGGGAATCAGTGCAGCTGCTCTGTGCCTGACGCCTCGAACCGGGGTGGAAATCCCACCATCTGACTTTGGGGATAATGTTAAACCCATTACAGCATTCTCCCCTCCCCTGCTCATCCCACACAAGCTTCAAAACTTCTGGTTTATGACTGGCTGCTAGAGGATCGTTGCAGGCTGTCTCTGGAGGGATAATCCTCAGTTTTAAGTGACAGTTCACGGGCATCTTCTCTTTCTTCTGAAATGCTGTCTTACACAGCACATTAAGTATTTTGGAGACTAATAACTGGAGCAGAGAGTTCTAATCTCGGTGTCCTAGTGGAGATTTAGCAAGGAGCGGTTAGTGTTTGAAGTCACCATGGCACGGGAAACGTAAGCCTTGAAGACCAAAAGCAAGGCTCGCAGGCAGCTCAGACGGAAATCTGGGATGTTAAACACGTGACCTGCGTTTCATCTCCAGGGCTTCTCACTGACGTGGTGTTTCCACTCGGAGCAGGTCTTAGGCACCTTGCAAAAGGGGGAACCCAGTTTGAGCTCTCTTTTAGATTAAATAGACCAAGCTCCCCATGCCTGTTAAACTGCAACTTGTACTTTCGTGTTCTTTACCTGAATTAGGTGATAACTGAATTGTATAATGAGGTTACAGGTTGCTTTTAACTTAAAACTGGGACCAAATGGGAACCACTTGACCATCTCTGACCTGGCAACTACACTTTGTCAGCTTGCAGGACACCTGCCAGGGTAAACACAGGACAGATTTCTGAGGCTGCTTGCACAGCAGCTCACTCAACAGCAGCCCGACGATCGCTTGGCAAAGGCTCTCACAGCGTCAGCTCACGTTTCCTGTCCACAGAGTGATTTTTTTTCTGTCATTAAACAGCTTTCTCTTTGTAACGATTCCTCCTACTGCTCCTCACACAGCCAGAAGTCCCATTAAAAAGGAGCCAAGCAGGTGCCCTACTCCCCTCAGCTGGCATAAGCCAAGGCACGGAAGAAACAGTCCAAGTCCCTTTGGCGAGCCCTGTGCCAATTATATGGTAAATCACCAAATTCTGCACGTGGGTAGAGAAAACCAAACTTCGCTGCAAGTGTCACGACGGTGGAGCTCCACAAAGACCCCGACCAACACTACTGTCAAAAATAACACCACTGCCTACTCCTGCCCTCAGCACCAGGCACCTCCCGTTTTTCTCCTGCCAGCACCACGGCTCACGTAGCACCACCAAAAATTGTACTGGTGAACCGAACTTAAATGGGTAAAATTAATCCTGTTTTGCAACACTGACGCTTTTCATCGTGCTACTCCAAGCAACTGAATGCCCAGCAGCACATTCAGAACAGCCTGTGACCATGATCACGCTGTCCAAGTTCACTAGTTACAGTTATTGAGGGCATAAGGTAACAAATTAACAGTTAATATTTAGGAGATTATAAAATTATGCTTCCATGAAGCTGTTTAAGCAGATGATCTGGCATCTCTGCACAGAATTAGCTCTGTGCTGAATTAAAGCAAGCCAAGTGGTTGGCATAATTTGGCCAAACATTTATAATATCACTATCTACTACAGATGCCCTCTCTGGCCTTCATTCTGTAACAGTTTTATACCCAACACTGACTTATTTAGCAGCCAGCATCAACTACTGGAACAGATTTCTGTATCCCGAGTAGCCGCTCTGCCACGACAGCTAAAGATTCATCAGAAAGGGTCAAACAGCAATGGGACATCATATGCTCTACCCCAGGTCAGCCACAGGAACAGAGCTCAGAAAAGACACATTGGGGTGTAACTGTGTTTCAGCACAGCACGTTCTTCCACATTCTTTACCACCCATAGAATTGCCTTAATGGTCGTAGGCCTCCAGGCAGCTAGGGACAGGATCAGCAGTCCAAATTTGAGGTTAGCCAAAGGCAGCAAGCTCCCTTCTCCTCCTCCCCCAGCCTGCGAGGACCACACCAAAGGTCCATCGAGACCTGTATTCCATCTGCAAATGACCATGAGGACTAGGGTGCCACAAGAACCGTGTGGAGACTGGGAATGTAACACCCTTTCCCTCACATGCTCGCCGAGGAGCACGCGCCTGCAGGACCTCCTGTGTGCAGGACAGACCTCCATACTGGGCAGCAGGTTTCTCTGGGTTATACTTTGTGAACCCAGAAGCGTGCGTATCACATCCTGTGGTGACAAACTCCTCACTTCAGCACCAACACAAGCTCACATCTTTTGTTTTGAATCCTCCAGGTGACAACTTACCTTGATGCTCCGCAGTCTTTGGGGACGGCAAGCCAGCCCCACTTACCTTTTTATCCCAGTTATGGCCTGGATATTTTCCTCATGTTCTTGCCTTTTCCAGCCTAAGTTTACAGCTCTCGCCAAAGTGATGGAGTCTGCTCAGGTTTCCGTTCAGCATTTAGTATCGATTATTCTTTCAACAGCAAGTTGTTCACTATGACAACTGGATGCCCAGTCAAATTTAAGCTACAGCATGCTGTGCAGCAGGATGGGGGCCTGGCAAACCTGCATTTGTCAGCAAGGTACAACCAATCAAATACACCCTCATTGCTTTACTCTTTGAAGAGGTCAAATCACCGAGACACGTAAGTTAGTGATAAAGCAAAAAGTTTGCTTTATTGCTAAACCAACTTTTAATAAAAAGGTCCCATCAGTCAAGAGCTGCTTTGCTCAGCCACCACTTAAGGACTGCACAAGACTTGGCAGCTATGGAGGGTTCTGCCTTTACAGCTGGACCGTGCTTTATGCGAGCGGGTCTCCAGTTTCAACCAAGACATCAAAATCACTGACATAAATGGAGTCAAAAAGCACCTGAAATCATGTGGCAGTGGGTGAGCAGAAGGAGTGTAGCAGGAAGGAAATCAAACATGGAGCGAGCGCAGGAGGGCTCAGGAAGAAAGGCCCAGCTCAGCCCCTCCAGTCCCCAGCAGCGCGGTGATCCCAACAATCCGACAAACACTGGCTGCGACGCGCGAGGGAGCCGCCTGCTGGAGTGCCTCGCCTGAGACAAGCCCAGCTCCGGGTCACGCAACAGCGGCGGCATGAACCCGGCACGTCTTAATTAAATTAAAAAAAAGCTGTAAAACATACACTCTCAAAACCCCCTGAGCCTTACAATGAAAGTTCCTCAGATGGTACTTCTCTCCAGAACGCACTCTGCTGTGCTCCTCCTTGCGGATGCGCACCCCCGCGCTGTGCACGGGCAGCACTAAGCCTTGCAAGTGCTCCCGCTGACGCCCCAGCGCAGCCTGTTCAAGCGGCTGGGTGAGATGCTCAGAGCTCTGAGCAGGCTGCAAGGTGAGGCTGAAGCCTGAGCTCCCTGCACAGCTCATACTGCAACCCGGTAACGGCTTCTCCCTGCGCCGTTACCTCCACCCGAGGGCCTGTGACGGAGGCACGGAGCTATGCCTGCTCACAGGGATTGCCCGTGCTGGATGTCAGCACTCTGCTAGGCGCTAACGCCTCCGCTGTCCGTGGGACCTGCTTGGGAAGGCGAATGGGAACATAGACATTTGAAGCACAGTGTTCCTTGAGGTATTCTCCCCCTTTTTCTTCATAGTCTTTTCTGGTTATCCAGCCTTCCTCACGGGCCATGTATTCCACTGCCCAATCCCTAGCCCCATACCAGGCATCTAAAACAGGACTGGAAGCAAGGTGAACCTGGATGAAAGGAGAAGAGAACAATGACGTCAATTCAACACAAGAGCAAAAAGCCCTCTTTACCCTGAAAAACCGCTGAATTCCAGAAGTTTGAGGTGATTATTCAGTGCCTCTGGGGAAGTCATTTTAGGAAAGGGTGTGAAGTGTTTTCACCTTGAGACCAATTCCCCCTGAGCCTGCCGTGTTCCTACCAGCTGAGAAAGCACATGGGTGTATCACATTCACAACCAACTGCCCTCACAGCTGGAAGCCAAAGCTGGAAAAGTTGGTGGTAGTGCAGAACAAGTACCAAGTGCTCCTCCAAAACTTCCTCCCTGCTTGAAGTAGCAGGCTAAGAAATCACTGTATGTGGGAAGGGTCCACATGCACTCCTTCCACTGGTGTAGATTCATACTTCCATTTCAATTATTCCTGTTACTGTAGCATGAGCTGCTTTCCTGGATCAACTATGGGCTTGCTAGACCAGACACGGTGTGAATCCCATGTGCGATACCCGTGAAGTGACAGATTACTGGTAGGACCACAGTACAGACTGCATTTCAGTGGAAGAAGGAAGCTCTTATTCAGTTACAAACAGCAAGATTAAAAGCAGATAATGTGCTCATTTTCTTCCTATAGACAAGTTACACACTCAAACTTAGCAAGTAATGTCATAGAATCACAGAATCACAGCATGGTTTGGGTTGGATGGGACCTTAAAGACCATCCAGTTCCAACCCCCCTGCCATGGGCAGGGACACCTTCCACTAGACCAGGTTGCTCCAAGCCTCATCCAGCCTGGCCTTGGACACTTCCAGGGAGGGGGCATCCACAGCTTCTCTGGGCAACCTGTTCCAGTGCCTCCCCATCCTCTCTGGGAAGAACGTCTTCCTGATATCTAATCTAACCCTCCCCACTTTCAATTTAAACCCGTTCCCCCTTGTCCTGTCACTACAGACCCTTGTAAAGTCCCCCCCAGCTTCCTTGTAGCCCCTTCAGGCACTGGAAGGTGCTATAAGGTCTCCCCAGAGCCTTCCCTTCTCCAGGCTGAACAAGCCCAACTCTCTCAGCCTGTCCCCATAGCAGAGGTGCTCCAACCCTCGGAGCATCTTTGTGGCCTCCTCTGGACTCGCTCCAACCAGAATATTGTCCCTAAAACTACCAGGTATGTGGCTGTAACACCCAATCACACCCTGCTCACAGCTACCTGCAGTAACTGTACTAAACAAGGGTTGTGGAATCACAAGATTATATTTGCACTGATTTTTTTTTTCCTCCCCACAGTTTAACACCTGACTTTCTATTCAAGAAGTTAGTAGATTTGAGAAGACAAGATGTTTCAGAACAGCAAGGGAGACTCTTGCAAGTGTCCTTACAAAATCCATGGCAAACTCTGGGACTTGCCCAGCTTGTACCGTGCTCACTACTAAAAACCTAGCAAGGGATCACAGGCTTGTAAAATACTGCATCTCTTTTGTCCCAGACAGTCATTACATGTGACAAACTGAACATGTAACTTCATTTTTAAGCCAACACAGTTTTTCCCATCAACTCCAGCTAACAAAGGTTGCTTGTTACAGATAATAACTGTCCCAACCTTAAGAAATCAATCTCTTACCTCTCCCACCCTGAATTATTTTGGAACATCAATGAACGGAGTTCATGTAACCATCATGCCAACACACGTACCTGAAAAGACGACTGGAAGGGCCTCATCTCTAGGAGTTCTTTCTGGAGTCTGGCTTTCAGTCCAGGGTACATTGTATTTCCACCAGTGAGAAAAACATTCTGGACAAGAACAGCTTGTTGCTCCTTAGGATACCTACAAGGAACAAAAACCACCTTCAGCCTTTCTCAAGGACATCTCTGCCTGAGAACTGAACAGCTATGGGCTGACACCTTGTCTGCAGGATTCACTTTTAGAAACTTCCTTCCCTTCCCTAGCATGAAAACCTGTGGGTGTTTGTTTTCTGGAAATTCAGAGGGTGGCAGAAAAAAATCCCTAAAAGCACTCTGTGCAACATACTCCACAAATCAACAACTCGGTAGAGCTGGAATTCTCACATTTCAGAAAATGCAATCTTGTGTGTTCATACAGTTCAGGGGTGACATTTCGCTAACACTACGATGCCTGGAAATAGCTGTCCAGCAAGTGTGCCTATATCGTAACTTAAAAATGCCATGCCTGATTCCAGTCTGCAAATCCAGAGACTGCCAGCTCCTGGTTTCAATGGATATTCACTAGGGCTTGTTGTTTCCCTCTATAACAAGTTGAACCAGGGGTCTCCTAAGTGAGGTGTGTGCAAGACAACCCATTGGGGTGCAGGAAAAAGCTATTTTCTGTATCATTAATACAATTAAAACAGTGTTTATTTCACCTCCACCTCATCCTTTTTGAATTTCTATTTTGGTGTACATTTTAAAACATACACCATATACTAGTTCAGTAGTACCTGTATGTAATTTATAAATATAAATATATTGGAGGTATGTGCTCATACATTTTTTACTGATGGGGTGATGAACCAAAAAAAACTTTGGAGACTACTGACTTAAGACAAGCAGGGTTACACGTGTTTTTCAGAACAGGAAGATATGTCTAACCTGCAACCCCACCAGAAAGAACTATTCAAACATATTTTCTCCTTCTATTGTTAATTAACGAGTATTGCAAAAGCTGATATCAAAACAAGACTAGTTTATTTGAAGTAAGTGCCAGGTAGCTTTGTAAACTCACCTCTCAAGGACATACTGCATGGTTTCTGCTATACCAGCCTGGTCTTCTCCTATCAAGGAGGGCTGGAAGACAATCTCTGGAGCCCTGATTCTTTCAGTGCCAAGGAAAAGCTGGTGGTACTCTGCCAGGTTAAACACGGGCTTTAAAAGATTGAGAAGCAGTAGAAAATTATTTTAAAGAACAGTAATATTCTAGAATAAGCAAAGTTTCCAAACAATTCCATACCAAAAAACCCAGATCATAATGCTCACAGAGCATCAGAAGGCTCCATGCTGTAAAAGGCTCCAAGAGACCAAGGAAGCTGGACTCTTCCTACACTTTATTCTGCTTGGTGCCACTCAGTCCTAAGGTTTAACCTCACACATTGAAAATTGTGTCCAATGGGACGTGAGCTCAAGCTATGGATCACACAAAAAAATTTGAGCAGGACTTATTTTCCCTAATAACATGGCACTGCTAAAAAGAAGTGTGTGCATATTAATGCTCTAAACCATCAGCTAAGATTACAAGGACTTCTCTCTTAATGTCCTCTTCAGATAACTTAAGCACCTCTTCCCTCAGCAGACAAACAATGTTTGCATTTGGAGAAATGTCAGCAGACTAGCTGGACAACCAGGAGGCAGCAACCTCTGGCACCAGGCATAGATATAGAAACCAAACCTGCACTGCAGCAACAGGCTTCTCAACTTCAGGCTGCTCCTCAGCAAACAGAGGCTCAAACTCATTAATACTTTCCACATCCTCCAGTGACTGTTCACTGCCTAATGGATCCAAATCAGGAGTCTGGAAACAGAGAAAATATATTAAGGTAGGTGAGCTCAGGTGTGCTGAGCACATCTATGACTTCAATTCTGGTGACACATTTGGAAAATTCAATCCTGATCCCCTCAAGTCTCAAATTTTTAACATGCCCCAAAGAGAATATGCTTTCTCCAGCACCGAAGACAAAAATCAGAAGGGTGAACAGGAGTTATGACAGTCATTCGCTCAAAGTATAAAAATCAAACACTTCAATAAATTTATCATGATGCCACCTCAGAAACTGAAGGCCTTAGTCAACAGGCTGATTGCCAGGATCCTAGCCAGCTGTGTCCTAAATATAACACCTCACTAAAACTTACTAAAACAGCTTTTTAAACTGGTTAAAACTTGGTACACTCCCAGTACCTCTAACTGCTCTGTAATTACCATTAAATTCCCTGCCTTGCTTTTGTGGCTCTGGAAAACAAATATTTGCAGGCTACAAAGCTCCCCCACAATTTTTGACAGTTTCAACCACCCTGCATTAGCAGACAGGATATACCAAAAGCCCTTGTATTTTACACAGATGGGAAGATGCTCCCAAAGGCGTTCCTAATGAAAAGCATCACTCAAAGTCCTGGAGTACTTCATTGCTGTGAAGCCAGAGCAGCTTTTCAACGAGCTCCTTTTTTTTGTTACAATGTTACATTTAGGATTTTGTTGCTACAGATTTATTTTTGTTATTTTAAAACTTGAAACATTTGTTGCAATGTTTAGGAAGCAACAGGGTGAGCTAAAGCGAGGTCATTTAAACTTTCTGAACTACCTAGCTTAGGTCCACTTAAAAACCAACTACTCAAACTGAAGTTTAAGCACTGTTTATTGTTAGAGCAAAGGAAGAGCAGTCACCTAAAGTTATCTCCAACACTTATGCTCTTCTAAATCCATTCCTCTTTCTGTTGCTAGGTTTAAGGGTAAAAAAACCCTAGAACTCTGCTGAAGAGCTGGCACAAACCCTAGGCCAACATAATTAGCTCTTAGCCTCCTTTATGCAGCCACAGAGGGACGGTCTATCTTCACAAATGGTTTTGGGGATAATTGTAGGCTTTCTCACAAAGCACGGACCAAACAAAACAGCTTGTCGATTCATCCCGAGGCCTGGAATTACACTCAGTAAAGAGGAGGAGCGTGGGATCCAAAACACACATGTTGGAACTCGGGCACAACCACTGGGCAAAATTACAAGGAGCTGACAGCCTTTCACTTATCTCTCTCTAGAACACCTTATAGAAGGCAGAAGTTTCTTTACCACAACAGTAAGCCCAGGATCTACCTCGCTTTTGCTCCAACGCAGCCATTCTGCTTCTTACACAAACCTTCCTGTTAAGGTTAAGGATAGGCAAAATATAACCAAGAGGATACCAGCTCACCCGCTAGTTTTGGCTACATCTCAAGTTCCACATAACACACAAGAACTCCTCTGTCTGGCATCACTCTCCTCTATGCTTCAATTTTCTGTTTATCTCTACTTTTTCCTGAGCAAAGGCTGATATAGCTAAAAAAGCTCTGTCTTACATGGCCTCAAAGGCAATTCCAAGTACATGCACAAACAGTCTTAGACCATCTCTTGGAAGAAGCTGCTATGTGCTGGGCCTACATTAGTCTGGCAAAGCAAACAAATAAGCTTCACATCTTCAAGACAACTCCAACAACCAAGAGAACAATGAAAGATTAATTGCTAAAGTCAGCAGAACAGAACATGCTGCTCGATTGCACCAAAAAAAAGATAGCCAGAATGAAGGCAAAGGGTTAGTTGTTTACCATAAAATTCTTTGCACCTGAAAGGGAAGAACAGAAAGGAAAACAAATATTGTTTTTAACAAAAAGATTGATGATAGGTTGTATTCCTTTAATACAAGGCTAGAGACATTTAAGGATGGTTATCTTAAATCTCAACTGGTTATAATCCTAAGTACTTACAACTTCATGTCAATTAGTTGTCAGACACTAGAAAAAAAAATCTTTAACCTATGAGACCCTTACTTCACCAAAATTAATGCAAAAGCAGAGTTAGAGATTGGTTTAAAGTATGAACAAAATCATTACGTAACCGTATACTTCAACTACTGCCAGGAAGCCTAGAGATAATGCTTAGAACTATGTGGAATCTACCTAGAACTATGAGGTATGTCCCAGAGCACAGTGCAAAACAGCACAAGAAGGGTTACTGGTTTCGGGCATACTCTCTAAAATCCAAACTGTCACTTCCTGTAGGTGTGTAGGAAAGCTGGAAAAGAGAGCAACAGTTACCAAATCAACAATGAGTTGCACTGTTTTAAAGGAAGAGCTTAGTTCATCAATAAAAGTCTGAAGGGGCACATTCTCAAGCACAGAAACTTAACTCTCTCACAGATATTAAGAGGAAGATTAACTTGGTGAAAACACTGTACCTCTGGCTTGCTGTCCACAACATCTACTTCAATGCTGACTTCTGCCTGTAGGATTTTCTGCTTCGTCTGTTCAACAGACAGACTCAATTTGTTGATATAAGACTGAAGTTCTTCTGCAGAGTCCATGTTCAGCTCCACCAAAGCTTTGTGGAATTGATCCATTTGACCATCCTCTAGAAGTTCCTACAGAGGGATCAGAGTTAGCGGTGATGAACAACACAGGGCAATCACAGTCTGCCAGCTGCACCTGTCCCAACACTTTGCCTTCGTTACTAGGTATCAGGATGTGCACACTTCAGCAGCATTCAAAATATTTCACAAGAGTACTGTTCAGAGCCTGGAAGCATCCTCAGCCTCTCCCTTTTATCTTGCAACTAACCTTAAAAAGCTTCTATCAGAAAACACACAGGAGAGTCATAGCTTCTTTATGGTGATGCACGACCCTCTGAGAAAGCTGAGGGCAGCCTGCCCTCCTCCCAAAAGATCAGACAGAAAACTCTGCCTTGATTACCTGTACGTACAGTAACCTGTCCAGCCTCTCTTGGTCAAGCTGCAGCTTCTCTTCTCGACGGCGCGCGTTGAGCTCTTGAAGTCGGCGCAATTGCTGCTGCCGCCTCTCCTGCTTTTCCTCCGATGTCAGGGTGCTTCCCAGCAGTTTGTTAGAGAAAGGCAGCTGCATCTTGTGCATGTTGTTCTCATAGTACTCTGGGGACCGCCACTTCTGTAGCTCTGAACGTTTTGAAAGCAAAATAACAGTTTTGCCAGGCTGAAAACAATGACTTGTATGCTGTAGGCACTCCACACTAGACTGGGACTTGGAAGAAAGAGGGCAACAATGGTCCAGCCTGGGATTCTGTCACCCCTTGGCAGCTGCCCCCCTATTCAGCTACCCCCTCAGAGCACTACCTTCCAGTCACACACCCAGTGCTCTGATCTCCAGCACGCAGAAAACACAATGTACTAAGAAGTGGGAAGTGCATACTCACATCTCTTCCCTCTCCCCAAGGTAAGGGAGAGTAACCACACATTTCTAAGGACTCCTGCAGGTGCTTTCACAAGCGACAAATGTAAGAAAACGTTTTTCTTCAGACACTACTTAAGATGACATTTACCGTGGGAATTGTAAAACTTCTTTATTTCACAAAAGATCATGAGAAGTGTCCTCTGCCATTTTGGAAACCTTAAGGCAGATAAACATGGCTAGATGCAGAAAGTATCCTAGCCAATTTAATGCTTTGTTGGAAGTAGAGAGTAAAGTGACCAACAAACTCATTTTAAATTACCTTCCTCTGAAATTACCCCCTTTTTATTCACAGAGAAATCTTAACAAATATAGAACTTCTTTTGTAATTTAACTTTGTTACAATCTTAATGTTAGATTCCAAATTAATGTTAAACTGTTGACAAGCATTGCCTGTGAGGTAGATTATCAGAAAGACAGCTATGAAGAAAGCAAAATAGTAGCAGAGTGTTTCTGCCAGAATCCCAACCAACTTGCGACCAAGAGATATAGAGGAGAAAACCAAGGTTGGACTAACACTACCCCGTGGTAAATTACAGCTGGTTTTACCTTCTATATAGTCCTCTGCAATGTAGCTATGCTCATGCAGTATTTCCTCCATGCGACTGACAGTGATGGCAGCAAAGTGTCCCGGGTATTTCAGCTGAAGGAGGCGTTGGAGATACACAGCTGCTTGACACCCGCCAAGATTAATACGTTTGCAGTTTTTAGCATCCAACCTGAGAATGCAAAGAGACACAACTGTGGCTGGAGAGATCCACAAGTTCAGCATAAAAGAGACCTCCTACTTTCCCCAGTACTATTTAATTTCTGATACGGTCAAGCTGACAGATGAATACTCACAGGCAAATATTTCAAGATTCAGTTACCAGAGAAACTAACACACCTGCTTTTCTCAGAAAACAATCACTGCCTTGTTTATTGCAGATAGTTCTAAAAGGCTCTGTTCTGCTTTAAGAAGGTCCAAATGTTAAATAGTTTTGGCTACAGCAAGAACATGCTCTATTTTTAAGAAGGGAAGTGATGGTTAGTGGAGATAAAAGTAGTTCCTTTAACTTCTGTAACACTTTACAGTTGGCCTGGGGTAACCCTCGAAAATCTGAAGCATCTACCAGATATAATAAGGCCATTTCCTGCAGTAAGGATTTAAAAAGAAGGGGGGGAAAAAAAAAAGGTAGAGCAACGTAGCAATAAAATCAGAATTATAAAAGCCTCAAGAACTGCAGAAATCTCACAAAGCACTTTGTTTTGTCCCCAAGCTGCTTTAAAACCTACCATATGTCGTTTAATGCCCACTCTTACTTGGAACAGATATCCCCTTCTACTCTTGAATGTAGAGAGCTCTGCATGAATAGTAACTAAAAATACGATACATACAAGGACAGCACTGCTTCTTCACTTCAAAATTCAATGGAACGTAACAAAATCTGCAGACCTAGTTTCAACGTGTCAGTATAAATTAAGACCAAATAAGAGCTTATACTGCAGGAGCTGGAATACTGAGTGCTAGAGGAAGGGGTATTTGCACCACTGAAAAGTCAATGGCTGTCAGAGGCTGCACCGTTCTTAGGACACCAGGAGCTCACCTGCCTTCTAAGACTGGCAAAATGTGCGTACACTGATAACCTGAAGATATCACCAAACCACTGCAGGGCCAGTTCTGCCTTCTGTTGTGGTAAAAACTGTACAAGCTATCTACGCCATAGGACACTTTTGGCACTTGATAACATTCGAAGAGGAGCTCTGACATCATTTGTCTCGAATACAGCGGATTGCACACCGCTTCTGTCAAAACAATTGGATGATCAACACAACCCTGTAAGAGACAAGAGAAAGGAAAATTAATAGAGGTATGAAGGGAAAATCCAGGGACACTTATCCTTTGCTGCTTCTTTGGAACATCAGCAATAACTCCTGCACAACAGCAACGAGAAACCCCTTTATGTGCAGGCTATTAATCATATAAGTTAAATTATATCTAGTGCTTAAGAGGGTAAAAAAAGAAGCCTCCAATGTTAATTCAACCAAAGAATAAACTTCTAAGGGTGGAGGAGAATGGATTTTTAAATGCATATACAAATTATTAAAAGTCTAAGTAACCAAAATCTGTACAACGAGGAGGTGAAGTGCGAGTGAAGACTGGTGGAAAGTTTAGTTCAAACTGACGTCGTGCCACAGGCAAAAGGCTCCATGGTCTGAAGAGCAACTGCCAACTCGGCTGGGTATACAAAACAAGTAGTTAACGAGCACGAAACAAAACTAACAACGTGTGATGTCAGTCTCAAAAAATGACCCTGGGCGGGGTGTTCCCGCCCCCAGCTTTCAAAGACGCGGCGGCCCAAACCTCTCCCCCTGCAGCTGTATTTCACCGCAAGCCTATGAAGAAATTAGTAGAATGGCAGGGTTCGGAGACACCCCCGGGGAGCAGCAGGCCCGGCCGCTGCTCAGGGACCGTCCACCCGGGCCGTGTCCGCGAGCAGGGGCTCCACACAACGTCCCCGGGCAA